AAATTGAATATATTACCATAACTTTTAGCTCAATTACAAGTTTAAAATTGACATCTAGGCCAGTCAACAAAGGAAAAATTTCTTAAAAAATTTCCAACCAAATTTTGTTTTATTAATAGTTGAATTAAAATATGTATACTGACATACTAATAGTCCTCATTGATTGAAATTGAGCCTTTTTTTTTACAGCCTCGCAAAAGTTCAAAAATATGAGCTTTTTTATTTTTCTCAAAAAATATTTAACCTACAAAAAAAGTTTCATAGAAAAGTTGTCTAAAAGACAATTATAAACAAAAAAATTATCTTATATTTTTTCATTTAATTAAATATTTTTCTAGTTACATTACATTTAATATGAGTACTAAAATTTATATTCCATTTTCTTCATTTTACGGTTACTTTTTATCATGTTATACTTACATTAGACACAATGTTATAAATGCATATGTGTGTATGTGTGAGTTTATTTATTTATTGTATCANTAAATGCATATGTGTGTATGTGTGAGTTTATGTATTTATTGTATCATTAAAGTGTAGTGTATATTAATATACAAGCGATAGAGTAGGTAATTGATTTGACGCTATATTGTTTAAACCCAACTAAACGCTAAATTGTACATTCCGAAATAACAATCATCATATGTCAATTGCCACCGGAATTTCTGGTAATCTTTTTCTTTTTCTTTGCCTTAATCCCAACTACTTGGGGTCGGCCACCCTTATCCTAAGATTCCACTTGACACGATCTTCCACATCTTCTACGCTCACATCAGTTGTCCTCAAATCGCATTTAATAGCATCCCTCGATCTCTTTTTTGGTCTTCCTCTATCTCTTCTTCCTTCAACATTCATTTCTATAACTGTTCTTACAGCTTCCGATTCTTCTCTCCTCATACCATGACTAAACAATCTAAGTCTATTTTCTGTCATCTTATCCACGATTGACGCAACACCTATACTTCCTCTTATATGCTCGTTCCTTATCCTATCTTCTCTAGTCACTCCACTCATCCAACTAAGCATTCTCATCTCTGCTACACTTATTCTCTGCTCTACTTTCTTATCAACCGCCCAACACTATGAACCATACATCATAGCTGGCCTCACAATTTCATACTAAATTTAAAAACTATAATTAGTATTTATTCATATATTATATTTTAAAATCAAAGAACTACTAATCAGGATATAATTAAAGAAATAAGAGTTGATGTTGCTTTTGGAATAATCCACCAATTTCTCTAAATGAAACACTATCTACAGATTTGCATCGAAGCGTTTCTTATGATAGTGATTTTAATCACTGTCAGATATCATCTATACTTGTCCCATCTATGCCTCGTCCACACTGTGCCTCGACCTCACTGTGCTACCGTTTTTTAAATTACAATTATTGTAATGTTAATATTAATCATGCGTAAACATAACAATACTAATTAAGATTATTAATTTTTTCTTTTGTGATACATTCTTCTTCCTTTTTCTTCGCCTTAATGTTAAATATTTGGGGTCGGCAAATACAATTATGATACATTCACAATTATAATGGAAAAATATATACATTTTACGAATTATATTATATTATTGCTAACATGGTACTGTGTTTCCCTTATCCACAAATTCCGTTATCGACATAAATGAAAGTGAATCGGGTCTGAATCATAAGTGCACAGTTCCATAGAGAAGGTTTGTTTATACGACGCCTTGGGTAGGTGGGTTCTAATCCTGTACTGTAACACATATTTTTTCGGAGCAATTTTTTAAACTGGCCATTATTCCACGATGACCGTTTTTTTGTTTTTTGTACAATGATAATATAATTATATTATCTACAATTATATGAATAATAATGTTTAGGGTAGGATGTCAATTGACCAAAGAGATTTTGACTAGTCAAAATAAAAAAGTTTAGAATCTAAATTTAATTTTTATTATACAATTCGGTATATAATAATAAATATTGCTAATATTTTAGATTATAAATTTTATTCAAAATATTAATTTAAAAAATGTAAAATAATAAAATTATTTAACTAGAAAAACTATAAAAAGTATTAAAAATCTCGTATGTAATCATTATAATCATGGTAGCAACTTTTGATCTTTTGACGTATTGTTGAATGAAATTGGTTCGGTAAATCCGAGAAAAAGTGGTAACTAACAAAAAAAAAAACACGTCATAGTAAAATTAATACCTTATCTGCTTCCCATCAAAGGTTGTGCCAATTAACCTTATTACTCATTCGAAGCTAGTGTCCCTTAGGACAGCGACCTCATACCTGATAGCAACTTTTGTTGTCAATACAGCCATATTATCAACCCACATCAATATCAACTATCCATTCCATCACCTTCAAGAGCATGTGAACCGTATAGATTTATAGTTCAGAAATTGAAAGATAAAAATTAACGAAAATAAGTCAAGTCACTTTTGCTGTCTATTTGGAAGTATATCCAGCTATACAAATAAATAATGCTACAATGTTTACTCAGGATAAAATAGAATCCGTGGTATCACTTTGATACTTTGGTAACGCTAGACTCCATCTTTTCCTTCATTAATTATTACCTACAATTTAAAACCGTAAACAAACTTACCAAACTAAACTACAATAGATTCTACTCAAAACTAATTTTAATTCAAACCCCCTAATAAATCGAATGTGCTCTACCACTTCGCCGACAAAACTTAAAAGAAGTTAGATTCGTGACCTAGTAACATTTTTTATTATAAAAGACTTGAAAAAAAAAGACTCATTGTAAATATTTTACAGATGCTTTAAAAAAAAGGGAAACATTTTTTTTATTGTAATCAACTTGAAACGAGCAAAAAATAGGTTACATATGATTTCTTCCTACCTTTTTTTATTGTGAAATTCTGTGCAAATTATTATCACATTTATCTTTAATTATTTTTTAGATCGCTTATGCAGTCAAAATATATACAATGAAATATATAACATGGACACTACTGAATTTATCAATGATGAAAAAACTAGCATTAATACGGTTAATCCTGATTATGTAAATGACGAAAAACAAACAGATAACCAAAATATTGAAGACTCATCAGAACTTAATATTCCACTGCCAAAATATATGGTCGATTATATTTTATTTACATAATATTCATATATAAGTGGTTGTAATTTTGTTGCTTTTATTTTTATTAATCAATTATATATATATTTACGAAAGTTTATGTAATAATAAAATTCAATGTTACTTTTAGCTCCAATAAACTAAGTTACGTAAACATTAATCGTTGTAATTAGAATTTAAAAAAAACGAAAGCACATCGGGCTCACGGTAGACATGGCATAGTTGGGACAGGTATAAATGATATCTAATAGTGATTAAAATCACAATCATATAAATCACTTCGATGTAAATTTCTAGCGTTTAATTATAAAAATTGGTGTATTATGACAAAAATAACATCAACTTTTATCACCTCAATTATTTCCTGATTAGGGTTATATGTGGGATTTATCCGATTATAATCAATTAAATGCGATATAAGAACGGCTGATGTGAGTATAGATGATGCATGGATGTAAGGAATGCATGATATTTATGTAATATTAAGAAATAGGATAAAATGGGTAAGAGGTATGATGACATGAATGAATCTAACACAATCCAAATAATCTAAACCCTTTCTCCCATAATCACCTCGTTCTCTTCTTTTTATTACAATATTGTTGCTAGTTTAAAATTTTTTTGTGACTTGGACAATAAGATATTAAATATTCTTTTTGATCTCTACTTGAGCTTCAGTAATATACTTGGTTATGTTATTAATATCAGAGATTGTCCTTTGGATTAACCGAATTTTTTCTTCTACTATACTAATAACGGCCAATTTGGACTTAAATGTATGACTTTGCCAAAGATGAATTCAGAGTTTAATATGTGGCTTAATAAAATATTGTTTCCATAGTCACTACAGGAGGCTTCAAGAAACCAACGAAGTCGCACGGAATAGGTAAATTGCTAATAAAAATAAAGCTAAAAGTCAATACTATAAAAATGCACCTCCTTAAGAAATAATGGAAGGTGATATTGTTTATTTACAAAATTAGACAACTGACAATAAATTCACATTCAATTGGATTGAAGTTCTCACCCTAATCAAGTCAAAGTTGTGATTAAGCGGAAAGCATTTAGTTAATCAATTTTTAAAAAAAAAAAATTTCCCTTAAATGCTTAAAAATTTTTTTTTTTTGTATTTCTAAAACATATACTGACACAGCCCGTAATAGCGCATTATTTATTTACTTTGAATTAGCATGCTATCCGGTCGTGATTATCAGCTGTCCACCGTCGCACTCGTTAATGTTGACGATAACACGAACTTGTCTTGTCCGGTGGTCGGTAGATAGGACAAGTCAGGGAGTGCAGCACTGCGAGACACGTCGGCGACTATGTAAACCAGTTCATCTGTGACTTACATCCGCCGTACGTGCCGTGTGTTATATACCAGCGCTTTATTTTGTTTAATCCACACTTTTCTGTTCATCCGTCTTTAGTATATTTTAATTATTATAGTAATATTATTATAATTTAAAATAATATAAACAGACTCCATAGTCAAAACATAACGGTGTTGCGTTATTAATATTATAGTTATTATTAACTTCTTTATAACGCGTCAATACATATCTATAGTACAACATGTAATCTATGCACACAACTTAAGAACAAAGCTATTGTGTTAGAATTTGTAGAAGATCGCAGTTATTTTAATAGGGCTACACTTTCATATTTCTTCAAAATTGAATAAAACTTAAACGCTATAAATTGCTCACTCGAACAAGACATCGATACAGAAAACTAGCGGATCCATCGTAAATTGATCAACTCAGTAAAGATGGTAGCAAAAACAATATTTTATTAAGCCACATATTAAACTCTGAATTCATCTTTGGCAAAATCATACATTTTTTTAAGTCCAATTTGGCCGTTATTAGTATAGTAGAAGAAAAAATTCGGTTAATCCAAAGGACAATCTCTGATATCAATAACATAACCAAGTATATTACTGAAGCTCAAGTAGAGATCAAAAAGAATATTTAATATCTTATTGTCCAAGTCACAAAAAAATTTTAAATAAATGTCGGTCAGAAAAGTAATTAAAATTGATAATTATTTATGTGGAAAAATTATTCTAGATGTTTCTCGAATATTCTTAGAAATTCTATTTTAATTCCTTAGTCTAATCAAGAAATTAGCTTTGTTAGAGTCATGAACGTTTTTTCGAATCCTTCTAAATCAAATAAGTATGAAACGCAAAATATAATTTCCATTATCAACTCTGCTATCCATGGCAAAATTCACACCACAGTTTTGCATCCTAACAAGTTACTTTCTCAGCTACGAGAAATACAGCTAGAACTTCCCGCTTGCAATCAACTTCGGTTAGACATTAATATACAAAATATTCCCGAATTCCTTTCAATATCTTCGACATTCATAATCTGTAGAGATAACTTACTCATTTTATATAGCAATGTTCAATAGTCAAAATCGATGAATATAATCTCTATCATGTGATACCTTTACCATTCTATTTCGAAAACAATAATGTTGTTCTAGTAAGATCAGACAGCGATTATATAGCAATTAACGATGATATCGAGATTTATTTGACTTTTAGTCAATCGCAAATAGAAACATGTATATCACTTAAATCATATTAATTATGTAAAGGTAATCATCCTGTTTATCGTAAATCTTCTTCTAAATTATGTGAAATCTTATTGTTAGAAAATCCACAAGATTTACCCCACCCATGCAAAGTTATTTATGTATCATTTAATTAACAGTATATGGAATCGGTTATCGAATACCAATTCCTGGATTTATTGTACAAGAGACGAACTAGTTACTCTGAATTGTAAATCTCATCAATACACCTTTTCTGTTTATATAAAAAATTTTGGTCGTTTAACAATACCTTCTATTTGTCTTGATCATACTACCTTTTCAATTTTAATGCCCATTTCATCTGTACTCTACAGCCATTCCAATGATATAGTCCAGTGGCGTATGCCCGGCCAAAAAGGAAAAAATAAAAAGATTAACATTTATGATGTTAAAAGACAATTTGACTTATACATTAAAAGTACAACTATTCATTAATTCTTATTTGAGTGTTCAATAAAAAAAAAATTATCAGGTTTCTTTTAAAGATATTAAATGAATTTTTTTCGTATAGGCAATTTCTTTACAGAAGCGCTCGTATTTTGGATTGCCTGGTCCGTATTGTTATTTATAGGAATGACCAGTTGCGGTAGAAGAGAATATACATGTTTTTACGTGGCGGTTGAAAGCACTATGCCAAGCGCTTATCGATAATTTTAAAAACGAAATTCCAATATTTTTACGATACAAATCAGATTATTTTCGTTATTAATATATTTTTATTATAATATTAAACGGGTACATTGAAAAATGACAAAATTATTTTGTCGTCAACTGTTGACAAGTTCTCATAATCAATTTTGTCACGAATAAAAATTTAGGTGTAAGTACATTAATTCCTACAGCATAATATTGTAGTATAAGTATAGATAATTATTATTTAAATAAATGATTATAATTAAGAGGAATCAAATGTTATTTGATGGTTTCTATTTGTTTTTATAGACAATGAATACTAATTCAAGCAATTGCTTAATCGAGCATCTATTAAATAAATATAGTTTAAAAAAACACGCTTTTCAAGCATATCGAACTAAAAAGTTAAAAATAATTTTTAAAAAAAGCTTAAAACAATAATGAACAAAAAATACTGGTATTATTGTGATAAAAGCGTCGGGCGCTCAATATACGAAAAATATGGCACAAAGCACCCACGCTTTTATCACAATAATACTAGTATTTTTTATTCATAATTATTTTTAATTTTTTAGTTCGATGTGCTTTAAAAGCGTGTTTTTTTAATTTTTTTAAACTATATTTATTTTTCACTTTTTAGTTTTATGTTATGATAGTAGTTACTATCAATATCATGGTTGTAACGGAAAATCAGGGTTCGATTTTGAAAAGGGAGTCTGAAAAACGGCTACCACATCCAAGGAAAGCAGCAAGCGCGTAAATTACTCACTTCCGGAACATGGAGGTAGTGACGAATAATGACGATACGGGAATCATCCTTTGTAATCGGAATGAATACACTCTATATCTCTTAATGAGAATAAAGCGTGTTAATATATATTTTTAATAGTAATGTCATAACTCAATAAGAGGGAGCGGTGTTATGTGTACGAAGATGAAGATGAGGATGTGGTGCCTGCTGTCTAGGTATTCACGTGCGTGCTGTCGTACAGCAGTCACCGTGCTCGGCTGACACTCCGGGTTAGCTTTTTTAAACTTATTTATATAAAATAAAAAAAAAACTTATTATCATAAACTTGTAAGATTTAAAATTCAATAAAATATACTATTTTTTTTATTTTATACAATTTTGTCGTATTTTGGAGATTAGCTCAATACGGATGCGTTTCCGCATGTTCTTTATTGTTTTCCCTATAAAATGTAAAAAATTATCGAATAACCCACTTTAGCATTGAGCATGCACTTACCAAAGACGGCATTATTCATTAGTTTGAAAAATGCAATTTCAAAAGCATTTGCCGCCTTTTTCCGCATTTCAGTGTTCAACTCAATGTATGGTTTCAACCAAGCACTTTGTTGAAACTCTAAAACGCGGTGCACCTGCAGTACAAATATNGCACATCTTCGATAGACATTCGGATGGGAACGTTGGTTTTGCGCAACAATTTAGAAATGTTGCGCGTCACTTCAGTTACAGCCATCACAAATGCCTTGGCGACCTCTTCGCGATCCTCGGACCCACGGTATATCACCGGTGATTGTGGTATACCATAGCGTTCGAGGAGCTCCGAGGGCACATCGTCCGATGTTTTCACCATGAACCCATAGCTCATGGGATGGTGGGTGTGCACAGTCCTGGTGTATGCATCCATGCGATCTTCTGTTTTCTCCAGCAAGGCCTCAAAATCGGCGTAGATGACGAACGGTAACCGTAACGGACCCACGCGTCAAATTCGACCTTACTGCCCTCCGCCGGCATAACGGGTAAAATAGGCTTGTTCTTGCCGCATATCAACTTGTGTTGCTCCAACGCTTGTTGACCCCGAAGAATGTGCTTTTTGGGCTGATCATCAAAGCTGGTGAAGCAACGTTTGCAAGTGTATATGCGGCATTTGTGATTAGTTTTTTGG